TTGCTGTGTAGGCAGTCGGTGCTTTATGGAGGGAGTCGGTGCAGTGGGTGAGACAAGTGGGTTTGCGGCTAGGGGCTGGAAGGCAGTGGGTTGCTGGGCCGGTGAGGCAATCTCGGTGGAGGCTAGGTTAGGGAGAATGTTAGGGTTTGAGGTAGGGTTAGTGTATGGCTCTGATACCAACTTGGAATAAACGTAAGTGAAAGGGATACTCAAATTAAGAGTAGAGCCCCGTATATATATCCAAAAATAATACAGAGTGACTTAAACATCCTTGTAGTTTAGGCAAAATATAAAAATCATAGTAAGGGTAAAAAAGGAAAAAGAAATCCTAATAAACTAGACTATCTATACTCCAACAGTAACATGTGTCATAGCTAGGCAATTTTTTGCAATACAGCCAAAACTCAAGATTCTGTCTCAACTGTACAGTTTACTACCTAATAAAAGTTGGATGTATATCTTGATCGTCAGCCAAAACATAAGATCAATATAGAGGCATCAGAATTTCAAAAAGAAAGAATCCATTCAACTAATCCACTCACATTACTATCAAGTTTAACACCTATTTGTCACTCTTATCTCTAAATGAATCTTCTTGTCTATATTCATTTGGTATTTTTCTGATGGCTGCTTGCTGGGCGTGGGCAGCCCTTGGCGCAAAGGCGGCGTCAAAAAATTATTTTTGAGTTGAGACTGCAACGAGTTTTAATATTTTTTCTACCTATCGATAAACATGATCTGATACATTTATATTTAATTAAATCGTACTCGTTGCAAAAAATAAGTTTAATAAAATCATTTACTATTGATCCTTATTGGTTTTTATACTTTGAAAGTATTTCGTAAGACATGATTACGTATATTATCGAAAATATTTTTCTCTATATAATCAAAATCATATTATTAGTAATCCTTTATCACCAATTCGTATAGACAATTGATTTTTTTATGTATATATATTTTTCGAATGACCTAAATTCATCGAGCTCGAATTCAATTTTAAAGTTTGTTCAATAAATGAGTAAAAATCATTTTACAAAATAATTAAGACTAAGCAACGGCTTATCCACCTAATTATGCCCATCAATGCACGTGTGCTTGTGTGTATGTGTAAGTTGTGACATCTTTTTCGAATCAAACGTACAACACAAGATGTTTGAAACTCGTTACGATTTTGAATAAATTTCAATCACTATTCAAGAATGAATGAGCCAAGTCCGAACAAACTAATTCTCGCCTCATTTCAATTCATTTCCAGCCCATGTGCAAATTGTAGGGATACTTTCTCTCAAATAGGACGAATTGCTAAAGGAAGTGGTTGAGTTTGGTAGTGCAAAAAACTTGTCGTAAACGTAAGCAAGGTGGGATGTTGTCGGTAGAGACGAATGGGAGGGATAAGGATATGCCGATGAGAGCCATTGACTGAAGAATGGGCTCAATGCTTTACTTCACGTAGAGAAAAGCTGAATATGATAAGTGTGCCTAGCTCAAAAGGTTTTGGTGTGTGGAAGATAGAGTAATTATTAACCCCATAATGTGTTGGTGTAATTGCATAAATTGAAAAGCAACGCATAAAATAATAAAACTTGATACAAAATAATTTAGGTTGAAACGCGAGTAGAAAATTGAAGCCTTTTGCAGATGACAAAGTCCAAATCCGATGCAACTGATCTTTTCACTTGACTTGTTCCCTCCAAAATACAACAACCCAATAGTTTCGTCATATGACATTAATTAACTCTGCACAAGTGGTTAAGTCCAAAGCTCTATCATAGAAACGCTATTTTTTGGCCTGAACTCCCAAGTGTTCGTATTATGTTTGAATTGTTGCAATGTCCATCTTAGAGGTCCTATTTATATACTCTTAGAATTTTCTAGAATTCATACATCCAAGTCATACATGGATACACAAAGTACATGTATGTAATTATACATACATCTAATAAATTCAATTCATGCATATAAGTCATACATGAAAAAATGTGCATGTATGTGCGTCTAATTATACATGTATGTAGTAAAAACAATTCATGTATATATTGGCATACATGAACTCAAATAAATTCATTATGCATATGTATTATACACTCATCTCATAAATAAGATTTATCCATAAGAGCAAGTATAATACATGTATCAATAAATTCATAAATACAATGTATCCATATAGATGAATGAATCCACATTGATACAATAAATTATATATAAATATTAAAATGTACCAACATAATGTACCTAGATTGAGTATAAATAGCCTCATACACACACATACACAAACTCACCAAAAAAAATATATAAATTAAATGATTCTCAATGAAAATATAATCGTTTTTCCTTTTTTTGTTTAACATCGGTAGATCATTAATATGATAAATAATTAATAACTGTAACTTTCAAATAATACATCTATAACGTAAGAGAAAAACTTACATAAGAGAATATATATACTTTTATAAGAATTAGAGGTGACAATTTTAACTCATTATCTATTAATCCGCCCATAAATTAATGAAGTGAGTATTTATATTAATTAATATGAGTTGTAAATGGATTGGGTAATATCATTCATTTTAATTAAACGGGTTAATATGGATTATAAATAGATACCCATTGGGTTGAATATTTATCTTTTTATTAAATAACACAAGAAATAAAATTAAATAAATATACTAATATACCAAAAAATACGCACACTATTACACCAAAAAATATACACATATACACTAATACACCAAAATATATACACACTAGCACACAAAACACACACACTAATACACCACCCATGACTGACGAGTCAACCCATTACTCATGGGTTGACCAGTGTGTTATGGGTTGACCCATAGCCCATAATTACCCCCGACACATTATTTGTGTATTTTTTTTATTAAATGTATTTTAGTTTTTGTGTTAGTATATGTGTGTGTATTTTTGGTGTATTAATATATATTTTTAATGTATTAGTTTGTGTGTATTTTGGTGTATTAGTGTGTGTGTATATTTGTATTTTGGTATACTATTAATGTGTGTGTGTTTTGATGTACTAATGTGTTCATTAAGAATTTTAATTATTTTATGGGCTAATCAGTTTAACCCAACCCGTTATAAATTCAATCCATTATAACTCATTTAGTACATGAGTGAAAAATGAATTTGATTTATTTTAGCCCAACCCATAACTAATCCAACCCATCCATTTGTCACCTCTAATAAGAACTATAGTAATTTGATAAACTAGATATGAACAACTATACATATATATGACATAAAGTTAAAAAAACGTCATATTTTAGTGCAAGTTTACTTTGGTGCATGAAAAGCGAAGCTATCTTTTGTTCCACTTTTTTTCTTGAACACCTAATTTTATTTATAGTCTTTATCAAGTAGTTTTATTTGACTCAATAAATTTCAGGATTAATAAGGCACATGCATAGCAAAGTTCATATTATATAGAAGAGGACCCAATTTCTTTCTCTTCATTAATGACAACACTTCCCTCTTTTCATTAATAATAACAAACAATTTCACATAATAAAAAATAGCACATATCTACACCACCAAAAAAATCCCTCTCTCTCTCTCTCTCTCTCTCTAGAATATCATAATTTGAACTCCACACAACTATCAAAAGAAAAAGAAAAATTGCATCACGTGCTTTACTAAGGAAAAACCATGGAGCTAGTTTGCCATCTCTTCGTCCCTCCATTAACAAATACACACATGTAGATCACCTTACCCCTACGTTGGATTACAAAGGCATTAAACTTCTTTTGTTTAATAATTTTATATTTTTAATAATATAATTTAATCTAATTTCATTGTTCTTCTTATTGGCAAAGGTCAAAGTTAATAGATAATTTGAAATACAAACAATGAATCAAAGTTTATATACAATCTCTATTTATCAGCTACTATTGTTTTATTTTATTTTTAACAATATTCTAAAGAAATTGATGTGGGTTAGTCATATTATCAACTAAAAAATAAATATTAACAAAAGGTAGAACAATAAATTTTAATCATATATTTTATATATTTATTATTGATTTTGAAGGGCGCCTCCTCAATTTTTATTGGCCCAGCCTTCGCGTTGTGGTTCATTAGTCTTAATTTTTTTTTTTGGTATCAATAAATAGATAATTTCACATGTTAATACTAACATAATATTACCGTTATATTTAATATTTTCCCGTTGGATGACCTCACGATAGCTTGCTTGCTTGCTTGCTTGAGTTGCTTTTCTTTTGCAAAGCCCTGTACCTAGGCCTGGGCTAACATACTCTGTGTTACTAGGTAAGTATTGCTCCAGTATGGCCCAACCCAATATATGGTCACTCCAACTTCTTAAGTGTCCAAATAGGGGCTATACCAAGTAAAGCCATTATTAATAAGCGAAAAAGTTGCATTCTCCCTAAGAGCTAGTCACCATTCATAAGTTATAATGATCCACTGCTATTTGGACTCTTAAGAAGTTAGAGTGACCATAAAATAAAATTATCCAACGGCTACTAACATCCCTTTCAAAACCATTCACATTACACTGTACCTTCAGACACAAATTATCCCCATTTATTTTATAATATGAATGAATTAGATATGAAATGAATCATGTCATATCATATTTTAAAATCGTAAGATTTTTGTCATTATAAAATATATTTCTATCATAGATCATATTTAGTGGAAATGATTTCAGACTTATTTTGGATGAGTCTAATGAATTAACCTATTTATGACCTTAATGGGTTTAAGGCTAACAAACACCCACCCGAAGGAAAAAAATAAAGAAATAAGACCATACCATGGCGAAGTAGACAAAAACATCACACGCCAAAGCAGCCATTTCTTTTTCTCTTTCACACTCAAAAGTAAAAGTCTCAAGGGACCCAGAAAAAAACAACTATCTAACATAGCATTTGAAACTTTTTCAGGCACCTAATGACCTTGAAAAGAATTGCAATGAAGTTTGTTAAGAAGTATAATATTTCAATTGTCAAGCTAACCTACATAAGGATGCGGATAACAGCAAGACCAACTGCAGAGATGGAGACAAGAGTACCAATGCAATATTTGATAACATCATACTTAGCTGCTTCCAATTGAGCCCTTAGAGCATGAATTTCCTGTCGAACAATTTAGAAATCAATGCTTTTAAGTCGAAGTGGTGGACATTTGCTTGTCAAATGAAACCAATAAAACTCACTCGGTCAAGCTTGTTAGTGAGGCTGGTGGTTTCTGCATTCTGATTGGCAAGCTCATCACGTATGCGCCTACAATCAGTTCCAACTAAGAATGAAGGGAGGCAAAATCGAAGGAAAGCTGATTCAGAAAGCCAAAGATGGCAAGCACCAGCATTGGAAACGATAAGATGGAATTTCACGTCCTTACCCTCTTTCAAGATTTAAGTCCAAACGTTGGCCGGCAGTGACCTTGTCAATCTCATACCTGTGTCAATAGCAATATCCTCTCACTTGGAATGTAGTTCATATAATAAGCCAAAAACTCTTTAACTAAATTTCAAGGGCGCACCTCAGTTCACTACGCATTTTCTCTATGTCATTTCGAAGCTTTTCAGTCTCACGTTGCAACGAAGAAAAATGATGATCCTACAGCAAAAAAAATCAAACATGCTCAAAAAAATAGCAACTCATACCACATATTCTACACCAAAATTGATCATCATTCAGATTTCAAACATGTCGACCACAAGAGAAAAGACGTCCCTGAGATAACTCAATTTAGGAAAAAAAATTAGAATTGTACATGGAAAAGAAACACATCAATACAAAATTGAAGGTTTAAATTCCTCAGTCTATTTCACTAATGCTAAACTACAAATCCCGAAATTCAGTATAACACCAAACTGTCTCCAAGATTTTCAAGGTCATACAATATTCTGCATCATATGAAATTTTCCTACCAATTTCATGACATTTGCAATGGTCATATAGACAACAGACCTACTGACTTCAGCCTTCATTTCTTTGCATTTTTCCTTTTTTCCTTATTTCTTTGGTGGTCTTTCAGAAGGGAAGGGGGATTTCTGGAGTGAATCAACACTATAAGTCTCCACCCTCATGTTCCTCCAGTGTCTTCCTCCATCCCCCATCCCCCATCCACCAAACACACTCTTTTCCCATTCATTTTGACTTGTGACAGAAAATTTTGGTACACTTATATTATATGTAGTGCATCTAATTACTAAGAGTCTCAATATCATACCAATATTTGCCACTAGACTAGACTCTACTCCCATAGATAACAGAATCTTCTGCCATTCCTTCTTGTTCATGTTTTTAATTTTTCTTTTCCTTTCCTTCTTGCATCAACAAAACATCTCCACCCTCTCATTCCTCCCTCTCTTCCTCTGTCCCCCAACCCACACAGGCAATCTTTCTCCATCCACTTTTGATTATGAATGCAAATTACTGGTATGGTCATATTTAACGAATGTTAAGTGTGTGACAGATGAGGATAATTCAAAGTCTTAACAATAACAAAATTCCTACTGCAAAGACTCACAGTTCAATATGAGAAGCGCATTCTTTACAACCACTATTTTGTGTGCAATACTGTGTGTAATTCACCTCTTTTTAAGAGAAGCATAGGGCATGAAACAACATTCTTAAATTCCAATGTGTCTTGAAAAAACATGCAATCAGCACATACATATGTAGCAGCTATAAAAATACTGTGTTAGTCTACTAAACAATCATGTTATCTTTCTAAATCAGTTACAGATGCCAGCTGTAGCATCAATTAGATATCAGCAGTACCAATAAGTGTTTTGGCTGGAGATTCTAAGCTCATACAGAAGTGGGGGTGGGGCTTAAGTCTCAGATTTAGGACTAACAAGCTTTCCAGAAATCTTACAGCAAAAATGCTACAGTCTCGTTACTATTTTATCATGAAAAAAAATAAATTTGAAATTCGGTTGGAATACAATCGGTGAATCAACTCAAAGTAGTTTTTATCCTTTTCTTTTCCTGTCTTTTGAAGACATGGATAAAACATATGTAAAGCTGAGAAGAGAAATATATGAGACACCGGACGATATAAATATATGCCGTCAAAGTAGTGCCAGAAACATAGCAAAACTCCCTATTCCAACACTCGCATCAGAATACCACCTTGAGAACGTATGTACATGAAGTGAGATATCCTCTAAGGCAAAAGAATAGTCTGAAGGGCATCACAACGCAAAAGGAGAACTTAATGGAGCTACACTCTCGTCTGCAACCATGATAATCTAAAAAATCCAACAGTTCTGAAATTCTCCAGTGTACACCTTGGGTCATTGAGTCTAACAAATGCCACCACTTGATGGTCCCTAAGAGATCATGGCCAGGTGGAACTTCCAATTTCACAGCATATGAAACAATCAATCATGTAACAAAGCATGATCACACCTTAAGTTTCCAAGCAAATCAAAAACACAATCCACAAATCACAGACAACATCTGAGAAAAAGTATTATTGAGCGACCTCTATTTCAGAAAAACCAAAGCAAAAGTGCTGCCTTTATGCCTCAAAAACAAAAAGACTACCTCTCGAGAAAGAATTCATGAACACAAGCGAAACAATTCACTATTCTGTTTTTCCTTTTTTGTTCCTTCTCCCCCACCCCTCCCTTTTCTCTTTCTTCTGTGACGGGTAGAGGGAATTAATGTCGTCACATAGACTTCCAAGGATCAACGATCTCATCCCCCCAACCCAAAGAACATACCCAAAAAGATCATCTTACAGTGTAATTGGGTAACAATGACAGAGCTACATCAGAGAGGAAAAGTTAGATGAAAATAGTGATTGTTAAGAAATTAGGATTAGAGGACCGGTATCATCATGGTCTATATGGGCTCTGGGCAACAGCTCATGACAGCATTCTATGGGTCTGCTTCATTCAGGGAAAGGAACATTATGAAGGCCAATCTGATCAAGGTGAAGGCATGACTGAAGAGGGTGAGGGCCACTAGGAATTAAGCAATAGGCTTTCCTTATTTTAAGGAAATTAAAGTTGGGATCCTTCATATTTAAGGTTGTATGTAGAGTCAAAGGACGGATGAGACACTCAGGGTTACTCTAGTGCATGAAATACATATTAAATCAAGCAACCTTTTTTTCCACTGGTGGAAATTTGATGACTATGAGAAAGCTGTCAGGATTGACATGCAATATTACTCACAAAGCTTAATGCTCACTTCATCAATACAAAATTAACAGCCTCTCTCAGAAAGTTAGGGTAAATTGGCATTGGAGATGACTGAGGGAAAAGAAATGGATTGACATGTTGGTGAAAGAAAGTTATTCTTCTAAAGATCAGAAAAATTAAAATCACGCTACAGGATTATATTCTAATAGTAACACACAACGCTGGATTTTGTTTTTTAAAATGGAAGCAAATCCCAGGAGCTGAACCTTCAAATTGATGAATCAAGAAAAATTATCACTTTGTTTACTCAAATAAGATGAAGGTCTAGCTTTCACGACAAGGTAACTAATCACATTAAAGACAACCCTGAGATGATTTCATGCTAGACTCGAACTGAACTCTCTCTTACCCAAGTCAACTAGACCAATGACTTCACCTTGACCCAACTCGGGTTTAACATCTGACTTGAGTACACTTTAATGACCATTATTTGCTCGCAAACAAGTGCTTTACATCAGTAAAGTTGGAATTGGAAATAGCTCAAATTCATATTTATTTAGCACGAATGATCAGTTATAAAGATAAAACCTATGTCACGGCAGAGATTTTAACATCCCTAAAGTGGTCTTAAAAGCTACTATGACTTGTTCTTTTCAATAGAAACACATTTCCAAAGTAATAAATCTACACCCCAAATAAATGTTGCTTTAGAACCCTCAAAAACCACAGATACAAAAGGAATTCAATACAGGCAAACCCAGAATCTCTTCTTAAGCTGGATGATAATCAAGAGAACTGGACAGGGACAGCAACAAAAGACAGTTGTATCACAAGCATTCTTTTTCCTCATGTGCTGCTTGTACTTGAATGGGATTGGCTTGGTTCAATTTGTTAACATGGTAGATGACTCAAGTACTTTAGGCCACTGGAGAGTAAAAATGAAAGCAACTAAAAACCAAACCCCATACATCAGTAGATCCAGATGTGCGAATGACAGAATACAATGCAAGAGTCCGAAGTCCATTCAAACACCACGTTAACATTACCGTGCTTTGTCCTTCTTCAGCCTTCACATGAATATAGTTGCAAAATTCAATCTCGTACTCTTCCAAAACCTCCAAAATCAAATAGGCCATTCTATTTCACATCCACCAGCCTCCAATCAGATCCGCATCAAGCAGTAATTTCCCCTATTTTTGATGAATTCTCCAATAAAGTTTCATTTGTCCTCTTTTCCTTTTTAGGGGTGGTAAGTTCCCTGAAGGATTTCATGGGAACTAAAGATCATAAACACCCTTACCCAAGAATTATAGCCCACATTTTCCTTATCTTTATATGATTTTTCATTGAAGTTGAGCTATTGCTCAAAATATCTAAGTTGAGCTACAGTAATTGTCCTTGACAACATGTACAATTTCACTTGTTATAATCTCTAACTTTAGAAAAAGCCCAATTGGCAATAATTAACACCACAGATCAACCAAGACGCCCTACAAAAATGAATACTCCCAGAGTTTCTCTTGAGAACCAAGGAAATTCGCCACCATTTATCCCTCGATTCTATGCATTGACCACCTTAGGTAAATAATTTGTGTTTGGGATAGAATCTCAATCTTGAAGGATAATATAAAGCTTACTTCCAAGTGCGAAGGTTCATAAACCTTACGAGAGAGACCTGAGAAGGGAAATTTTTAGGAGAAGAGGGAGGAGAGGAAAGAAAAGGGAGAAAACAAAGAAGCTGCCAAGCCCCATGTCTAAAGAGATAAATAATGTGTAGAGAGAGATCTCTAGAGAAAGAATAAACAGTAAAGTTTCTTCTTCTTCTGAATAATAAGCAAATGAGGAGTATTTATAGATTGGCTCACATGGGCATTGCACAATCTATGCACAAGGAGGGAGTGACCAACGATTGGAGAAATGTGTCACATATTCAGTAGAGACAAGTAACCCACACTAACTAACCCCTTCTATCTTTGATGTGGATAAAAAGCTAGTGGTACCTACAAGAGACATGGGGATGAGGAACACTTGTACCACCAAGGCTACCTATGCTCTTACAACATCAAAGATACGAGCAAGACCATGCAACTCACACGACATTAGAACTCCATGGCACCAGGAGTCTCTAGCACCCCTGTTGGGCCTACCAAAAACCTCAAAGGATTCTCCCAAGCCCAGTCATCATCCATATGGCACCCGTGTGGAGAAGGGTTAACTAAATTTCTACAGAGAACATAATTAACAAGCCAAAACTTTGAATTATCAACCAAGTTCAAAGTAAATCAATAAGAATTTATTTAGAAATCACCCCCATAAAACCCCTAAAAATGCACATTTTCAAAGGGGGGGAAAAGTAACGGCGAAGAAAGCAATAAACAGTTGATAGAGGAATCCATAAAATTTCATAACACTGCATATTAGGAAAAAGAGAATGGCAAATCCAATTAGTACCTGAGAACTTTTTACTTCAGATTTAAACTTGCCAAGGTTAGATTCATGGATCATCTGAGTCTACAAAAATAAAAACCAAAATCATTACTATTCTTTACTAAGATTCAAAGTATTACTCAAGATAAAATGGTAAACCACAAATATAGGCTCCAATCATTGATAAAAAAAAAATTATGCAGAAATGAATAAAAGTGCCAGATAAACACTTACTTTCTGCATTTCAGCTTTTGAAACAAAAGAGTGAGAGACATTTTCTAAACTATCATTCAAAACTTCAGTAATTGCAGCAGTTATTGCCTCTGCCTGTTTTGAAGGCACACCTTGAGCTTCTAAGCTCCTCACCTGTTACAATAAAGAACCAATTAAAATGGTGTTGCCAGTCCCGCCATTGCCCGAAAGCTTGTGACCTATAAAGTAATCAGAATTGCAAAATCAACCTACTACTTATCAATCACAATATCACAAAAAATGTTAACAAAAATAGATTACCAGTGCTAATGTATCAACGAGAAACACACGGTTCCCATTAGATGGGACGAGCTGAGACATTTGCCTATGATTGAACCGACCAATATTCGAATGTGAGGACAAAGAACCGTACAATTTCACAGAATAACTATCCAATTCAAGCATATTAACAGCAGCTGAAACTCTTGCTACATTGAACCCTCGTAATTTTGTCCCTAATTGAACCACGCGCCTACACATAGCCATTCTTGTGAGCAGTTAACTATCTTTCACACAACTTCAACAAATTAAACAATTAAATCTTCAAATTGTTCCAAACAGTTACATGAATAGAAAGAGGAAAAATCACCAAACGTTGTTCATTGTATCCCGTTGAAGAAATTTCGCTCAAGAAGATCGAATATACAATCTAGTTCACTCTCTCTAGGATCAAACTTGTGGAGAGTTAAAACAGGTTTTTGACCATGGTTCGATCGAAACGTTTGAAGTTTCTCACGGGAGAGAGAGAGAGAGAGAGAGAGAGAGGCGGTGAAAAGCTTGACGGAGGGGTTTCGTTAATTGGTTACTGATTGTTTATGGCGTAAAGATAAATTCCTTCTCTCCCCCTTTTCCCTATTTATTCGGTTGCTTGCCCAAACAGCTTCTTCCTTGTGATTTGATTTTCATTATTCTTTCTACAAATGACATTTCATACCCTAAAATATCATTATATTTTTAATTTATACCTTAAAAGATTAATTTTTTTATATTTTACCCTTAATCAAATAAAAAAGTAACAATGTGCTCTATTTTTAAGAAAGTGAGCGTGCAATTTTCCTTAAAAATACTTTATTGAGTATTATGCAGACAATTGTTGATAGATATGGAAAACAAGAAAAAACTAATTTGTCAAATAAGGCAAGGGACATTTGGTTTTAGACTACATTATTACTTTTTTTATTTGATTAAGGGTGCAATACGAGAATTTTAATTTTTTAGGGTATAAATTGAGAGTTTGATAATCTTTCATTGTATACAGTGACATTCACCCTCATAATTTTTCTTCTTTTTTTTTTTTTTTTGGGTGTAGATGTCAAGATAAGGAGGAACAGGTGTGCCTTGTTAAAAAAGAAAAGGAGAAATTAGGAAACTTTATTAAATGAAAAATATCAGCCAATAGTAATTCCTTATCATTTGTTGGGGTTCACTTTCCAAATAACTTTTTTTCACTTGAATTTATAAAAAAAAATTGAGAGAAAATGTACTTCAAAAGATCTGAATTTGCCGTGTTAATGACGTTGTAAATATTTTTTTTCCAAGCTCTTGGAGTTTTAAGAAAATAAAATTATCTTGTATTATCAAAGAAATATAAATAAAGTATAGCTATATAAAAGTTACCCTTTTGTTAAAAATTAAAGAAAAAAAAAAGAAAATCTAAAATAGATGGAGATGATGAGAAAAAAAATATATTTGTTAAATTTTTTTGGGGAGTATTAAAGAAGTTCTAGTCTCACCTATCCTAACACTCTCACCAAAAAATGCTTAAAAGCTATAATAAGAGTTATGTGGCATACAATAGGGGATTAATTATTAACTTTAAGGCTGATAATTGAATCAAACTACTTAGACTAAACTTGAATTTGATTCATATAAGACTCGAGCTTGTTGAATAATTTTTAAGCCCGTTTAGAAAAACGATCCTAAAAATGGTTCAAATTTGAGCTTACAAAACTCAATTTTTTTGTATATAAAATGATTGAATTACTCAAACTCAATTCAAATTCGACTCGTTTTAAGTTTGACCAATTTTTTAGGCATATTTATAAAAACAAGTTCGACTCGAATTCACAAAGCTCAAAGGGTATTAAGGAGGGCGGTCCTTTTTTGTAGACTTACTTGGATTTACGCAAACTCAAAAAATTTATTTGGGAATAAATCCATTTTGATCCATATTGTTCAAAATACTCTTAAGAGTTATATTTAGTCAAAACTTGTTTGAAAAAACTAACAACTCTTCAATTGAGAATTATATTAGTATTAAAAACTCCTATTGCGAGGATGTCACTCTATTATAATGATTAAATTTTTATTGAGTGTGCTACTGTTTGATGTTATTATTTTTTTGTTAAACGTGTTACTGTTTAATATTACTATATACATATATATGAAATAAAAAAATAATTTTAATGTTAGCACAAATTTCTAGTTATGAGTCATTATATTAGAAAACATTGAAACTAACAATGATAGACAATATTTATAATAAGAATAATTATTGAATATATTTCAAAAAAAAAATTAAAATATTTTAAAATGTATATTTATTGACAACTATTTGATTTAAAAAAAGGAACTTAATAGAGTATAAGTTTAAAAGTAACACTTAAAGCCAAATAAATTCTACAAAAAATATTCACAGCCAATTATCCGATGCTCAAATTAATTATCAGCCCCAACTAGAATTGAAGTCTTCTTGTTAGATTTTTACCCCGGCCACAACTCAGTTGGGCCTTTCAATGTATTTCATATGTTGCTAGACAAAGGAAACCCAATTAGCTGGGATGGGCCTTAGAAGCAGACAGGCAACCTGCTCCGAAAGATTTTTTTTGGTCAGAAAGCATCAGAAGCTAAAATTCCGTAAAAGCAGCAATAAGAGCACCCATCTCATGGCCAGCTACACTGATTGGCCCACCGACCAGGGTCGGTTGGGGGAGGACTATTTTGCTGCAGCAGTAAAATTGGATTTGACAAGAAATGCACTGCAAAACTACAAAACTTTGGAAATTATAGAGCATTAAAGGAGCCTATAGCAAAATGTCAAAATGCCTATTAGGAAATAACTACTGCACAAAATCAACTAACGTCCAGTATAAAATACCAAAGCTAAGAGTGCAGATAATCACAGGCAGCACCCTTCTTACAATGCCCGTTGATATGGTATGGGCACGGTGTCTGCCTTTTGGGAAGAGATCGGAAAGAACCACCTGACCCTCCTCCACTACCAAATGATGACTGCCTGTTCCAATGACCGTGACCACCAGAACCAGAATTTCCACCCTGACCACCCCCGTCCCTTTGACTCGAGAATCTATCTCCATTGCGGTGTTGTTCGTTTCCTCTAGTCCCCTGACTCACAGCTGGAGCAGGTGCACCCCAACCTGGATTTGAATTTCCAGGTGCTGGTCCTTGAAAAGTAGCACCCGGATTCCCAGCAACTGGAACCCAACCCGAGTTCGCATTCCCGGGTACTGGCCCCTGAACTGTTGCTCCCGTGTTCATGTGTGGAGCAACCCAACCTTGATTTGCAATCCCAGGTGCCAAACCCTGAACCATAGCTCCTGGATTCCCTGTTGGTGCAACCCAACCAGGGTTCACATTCCCTGGCACTGGCCCTGGCCCTTGAACAGTAGCTCCTGGATTCCCAGTTGGCACAACCCATCCCGGATTGACATTCCCTGGTGATGGCCCTTGAATAGTAGCTCCCCAATTCATATTCGTACCTCCTGGTGCTGGTCCTCCCCAGCCCATGTTTGGATTTACCTGTATTGGTCCCCAACCAGTGTTCTGATTATCAGTTCTTGAAATAGGTACAGGAATGTTGGGAACTGAAATGCCTCCACCCCACGGTACATTAGAAGGAGCTGGAGGTTGCATGTTCGATTGATTGCCCGCAATTGGAGGTCTCCAAAAATCAGGTTGAGGCAAAGCTGAGGAACCAGGAGTCAACAAGTTTCCAGCAGGATCCTGAACACCAGGAGCCAAAAAGTTTCCACCAGGATTCTGACCCGATGTAACACTAACCCAGTGACCATAAGTCTGTGGTTGTCCATGCACAGGAATAGCAGAATTTGGTTCTACATTCTGAGATGGAGCATTAGCCCAAGTATGAGTTTCAACATGAGTGTTCTGACTATTCACAGATTGAACTGTGTGGGCAGCAGTATCAGGCGCAGGGAGCAGATGGCTCTGTGTCTGCACCACAAGTGATTCTGTAGTCGCAGTTGGTTGTGAAGTTCGTAAAGAATTTGTATCACCCACGAGGACACCTTGTTCAGTGCTAAGTGCTGCATTAAATCCAGTTTGAGAGCTTTGGGAATAATTTTCAGAATCCCTGGCCAACGATCCACCAGAATCCAAAGCTGAAGCGAGAGCAGAAGAACGTGTCACTTGGCCACTTTCTGAGGGAGTTGCAGCAGGTGATTGCAGTGCTTCATTGCCACCAGAAAATGAACTCGCTCCCACTAGAGGACCCACTTCAATGGTAGAAATGGTAGTACTTTGCTTCGGAGTAGGAGAAGGAAGGTTTGACGAGTCATTCCCACCCCACCTGTCTGTAGAAAGTTTGGGGACCTCAACTGGAGTAGTCATCCAGCCCTTTGATGAACTTAGGTTTGGTTGAGTATTAGTCTTTGGCAATCTATTGCCCCCCTCTGGCAACTCTCTCGGAAACCTTCCAGCCAATGCATCATTCAAAAGTATGGAATCATCTTGTGTTTTGGTGGTTCTCCAGATTCTAAGATCAACAGGGAAGTATCCAGTGTTGCTCCATTTGCGCAGCTGCACAATGGAAAATGGTCCTTGAACTTTTCCAGATGGATCCTGATAACGCCAGATTTTTTCTGTTTCACTTGGTTTGGCGGCTGTTTCGGCAACCCCCACAGAGAGAGCTGGCGAAGTTTCTGATGCAACACCAGAGAATGATTCAGATATTACACCAGAGTGGCTATTCCATCCAACAGTTTCAGAATTAGAAGCTGAGCTTTGCTTCTCCAGCTTTTTTGACTGTTGTGCGTCTTTGTCTCTTGCAAGATCCCTTAAATTTTCATTCATTATCTCACCACTAGGAGTAGCATCTTCCGCTTTGTTTGAGAAATTTTTACTAGACAGGTTTCTGTTAAATTCCCAGTTCTTACTTGAATTTGTCCGTGCAGTACTCCAAGAATCTTTTGAAGAGAAATCTCCTGTTCCGGGAGAGAGTGGCTCCCTACCTCTCCTGTTAAAGCCAGAACTTCTGGGTCTCATGTAAGCCTCTGCATACACCAAAGTGATGTCAAAAAATATTACCTCAAATACTATATGCAACAAAGATGGAGTTTGAAAATGACAAGAGAATGAATTAGACCTCGTCTATTATCTTCCTCTTCATTGTAATCTTCTTCAGACTCGTAACTTGGATCCATCTTTGGGTCTGCATGTATTGTTGGAACTTCCTCTAGTCTACGTTGTCGCTCCTCAGGTGTTTTCAGAAGCTGTAATTTCTCTACACATTCTCTAAGCGTGCAAGTTGGTCAAGGATTAGAACAAATCTTTTCCCTATGACAATAGATATTATACCTACATACCAGCAATAAGTAACTAGGACCAAACTACAAGTAAAAGATGGACACTGCTAAATATGCTTCAATTCAACAAACAATAATTCACCTTCTCTGACATTATTTTTGTTTCCAAGCCTTGTGACAATCAAGATTATCTGTGCAAGGCCCAAAATTCTAGCACAAAGTCACACAACAGAGCAACGAAGGAACTTGAAAAATAGTCCAGAAAAAAAAAGTCTCCACCCTCTTCCTCTTTTCCTCTCATCCCTTGACAAGAAAACAAAATAGAAAAACAAACAGAAGCAGGAGAGAAAGACCTCCGCTCGCCGGCTCAGCAATAGTCACTGAAGTTTTATACAGCAACAAAACTGCAGAGACTCATGCCAGTGTGATTAGAGGCTCAATAAAACACAACTCAGTTGCAGGACAGCATCATATTACGTGACAATCCTGCTCCAGCGCAGCACTTCCATGCTCGCCGCTTAGAACATTACAGTAACAGAAGTTACTTTGCGGAACAACCTCAAATGTAATAAACACACTTTAGTTGCAGAAATAAATCAACAACTTCTGCTTCACCACAGATCTTCCGATGCTCCCTACCTAAACCCTAGCATGGGTTCAAGTTATGCCGTGATGCAACCTCAGATCTAATCATATAACCTTTTACCAACTTTAGACAAGACATATAGTGCGATGCATCACAGGCATGTACTTCATAGATGCAGCTTATTTAACAAAATCTATGCTAGACTCCTACTGCAGACATCAACTCAGAAGCAAGCAACAATTTGAAACTCGTAAGATAACATATGCTGAACATTTTATCGTTATGTACTTAAAACTTAAACTAGCAAAGCTCTGAATGTGAATAATGTTCCAGGTATCAAAACCAAACACATATACATGAACGTAAGCAACAAGGATATTCCTTTCTACGCCCTTTTTCACTTGCTCGATCTCGAAGATGACTAAGTCGCACTGTCTCTGTTTCCAGCCACTGCAACATGGAAAAGTATACATCATATTATACAAAAACGAAAGGAGAGAGAATTTTCAGATATTGTGACAAGCAAACTAAGAAAACTATAAAGACAGCTTAACTGGAAAACCCTAAATTACATAAATGCAAGCCATCATGAATTCTGCAATGAGAAGGTAATTATTTGAACATACACCCTAAACAAACTCATTCAACCAGCACGGTTTAATTCTATTTTACATAGCAACCATTAATCTGAACCAAAAAAAAAAAGTCTTTCTCCCAACATCAGAGGAGGAAAACAAATTAGCACACTGAATCCTTAAGCAGAGTTGGCAGATTTTTAGATTGTTAGTGTGTTACTTTCCTGCTATGTGTTTGTCCTATTATGCTCTACTTCTTAACATTGTAACTGTCTTCAATATTAATCTATACTACTAATAAAAGTACACTATCAAGAAAAACTTTTGTTTGACTATTTTATCCATACAAGAAAACATAATCACAATATTAACCATATTTAATGTAAAACTCTTTTAATAGAACTTGATTGACATTAAATTTTGTTGGACTATTTTACTCTTCAATTAAAGCATCAATGCAATACTAATGTTATTAATACAAATTCATTAGTTGAAACAAAAATTAAAATTTAAAATAATTCATGTCCAAAGCACGTGTGCATGATCTAGTTTAATATAAATAGATGATAGGGTGTTGGCAACACACACCCTGCACACAATTTTATTTCGTACTTTCTTTCTTCCTCTCTTCTTCTTCTCTTTTTCGTCCTTAATCCTAACATACAAAAATTCAATTTTTCAACTTACATAAAATTATTCAAGTTTTCAACTTGGTATCATAGCAAGATACTTGTTGTCCTCACCAAAATCATTTAAGTCACAATTTTCCTATAATCAGTATCAACATCAGTGGCTTATCAACTGTTGTGATCATTATCAGTTGTTGTGAGCTGAATCTGAGTTTATGTCTCTGGTTTCTAATCATCAATGCGAAATTTAGTGTTTTCAGTCCAGTTTAGTTTCAGTTCAGGGATATTTGGCCCAGTTTGATTTTGGTTTAGTGATTTTCATCTGGTTCAACTCTGATTTAGTGTTTTTAGTCCGGTTTAGTGCCGATTCGGTGGTTTTCAGGTTTGGTGTTAATTTAGTGGTTTTCATCTCAGTTCAGTATTTTCAGCATGATTTAGCGTGGGTTCTGTGATTTTTAGCAAAATTTGGTGCTAGTTTAGTAATTTTCATCCTAGTTCAATTTTGGTTTAATATTTTTAACCTGGTTTAGTGATTTTCAGCACAGTTTGGTACTAGTTTATCGGTTTTTGTCTTGGTTCAATTCCAATTCATTGTTTTCTGGCCAGGTTAGTGTCTGTTCAGTGTTTTCATCCCAATTCAATTTCACTTCAGTGTTTTCCGTCTGATTTGGTGTCGATTCAGTGGTATTTGGCAGTCTGATAGTTTGATTATGGTTTAGTGGTTTTCATCTTGATTCAGTTCTGGCTCAATGTTTTCAGTCTGGTTCAATGCCAATTTGAGAGTTTTCAACTCAATTCAATATTGGTTTTATGGTTTTTTAGCATCAATGCAGCCCCTTTTTGGTTGATTCAACTCCATTCGGCTTGGTTTATCCTATGAAATTTAATTTGTTGGTGCCTTTGGTTCGTTATGTCATTGTTGGTTGTGTTTGTTTGTGCTGGTATCATGTCGGGGGTGTTATGTTTGTCCCTTGCCATTACCGTGTTCTTTTCTTCTGAGTTGTCGTGAGTTGTTCGCTATTACTTATTTTGATGTGGTCATTAATTGTTTCTCTAAAAAACAGATGGGATGTCTTATACTTCAAATGGAGCAACCACATGGATTTATTGCTCAGGGGGAATATTGTGGTAATGTATATCAATTAAAGAAGTCCCTGAATGAATGGTCTGATGTAGTCACCTAGAGCTTGTTTTTGTCATCGTTATTGTCTCCGTGGACATATTATAAACTACTAGGTGATCCTCTCACCAAACCATTGGCGCAATCTACCTTTAGTAGCCTTTATTTCAAGCTAAGAATTTTTTATCTTTATGCTTCAGCTTCAGAAAGAGTGTTAGTGTGTTACTTTCCAATTGTCCTCCTTTCCTATTGTTCTACTTTCTTATTATATGTTTGTCCTATTACGTTCTATTTCGTAATTGTCTTTAATATCAATTTAATATAAATAAGAGATAAGGTGTTGACAACACAAAACCTACACACGATATTGTTTCATACTTCTTTTTTCCTCTCTTCTTCTTTTTCTTTTCCTTAACCCTAACATACAATTATTCAAGTTTTCAACATAAAAAAATAGCGACTGCCTCTCTTTTCAATATTTCTTCCAGACAAATCATTTGAGTATATGTAAATCTCTGTGCAATAATCTTAATCAACCAAACGAAAGAGGAACTTATGTACATGTGGGTCCATACATATACACAAATAGGCTCTTTACGATCTTATGCTTGGAGTTACTCTTCAACTCCAAAAATTCAATAGGCATAAATGGTAAATCTAGTTTCCTACTTTCCAGCTAGCCTTAGCCAAGGTCAATGGCAGGCCCCCATTTGATACCAACGGACCCCTGTTTTAAGAATTTGTTGACATACATGTTAAAGACCTGTTGTGAAAAAATCTGAACACTTGGTGGTCATAAGTTAGTCCACATAGAAAACTTCATAGCCTCGTCCAGTTGCACAAGCATGCACGGATAATTCAGATCATTTACACAAACTTGGCCCTGCCAGCTGGGACAGGAATACTAGGTAAGACACATTCCAATGTTTGGGAGACCAAGAATGTACTATTGCACCAAAAAAGGGTCCTACATACAATTCAGAAGTATACTCATAAATTTCTTAGAGTTTCAATTAAAGTTGCCATATTTTCATCAGATTTTTCTTTACTACAATAAAATTTTTCTATAAAGCTCTTCTAAGGTTTACCAAATTTTTCCGCAAATTTTTTTTCAGCTTCGATCCATATATTTTATTTTTTCTCTTCCACAAGTTTTCAACATAATTAACATCTTAACAATCTTCATACATATGAATGTAGTAGTTTCGACAATGTCTCCATTTTGTTCAAGCAACACAAGATAAGTTGATCTTCACAATGTTTGACCATTTAAAAACTTTTGCCTAGGTTAGATTCCAGTCTTAGGCAGAAGAAAAAGAATCTCTTAAACAATTGACAATGAGAATGCAGACCAAGAGAAACATGTTACAAAAAACTGATGCATGAACAGTAAACAGGGGAGACAATTTCCAAGCAACAATGGGTCTAACCTTATTCTTTTTGTCATTAATTTTAACACACAGAATTTTGGATCAGAACAGTAGTTGATAGTAATTTTATTTGCAAGTAAGGACTAGTTTCTAACTTTGCTGAATGCCTCAAATTTAGGAGTCTTCTCCAGGCTGTGATTCAGCAGATTATAGTTCAATACGTTTCTAATTCAGTAGTTCCTTAAGTTCTGGAGACTGCCCGAGTGTTTTCTTGCATCTCTAAATAAGGTCATATGCTGTAATACGAGATTAGACTTAATGGAATTATTTTTCTTGGTTAGGGTTGAGGATGATGCTCATACATACCACTGAGAGTGGACATCAACCAAACCTCACGGAATAGGGTGCTTTTCTCTCTCTTCTGCTCTTATTTGCAGTTTGCTGAATTTCAGTCGCTACTGAATTTCCACAATTCCATCAATGCTCAAAATATTAAGAAACAGACTTGAAACTTGGATTCACAAACCCCACACATATTCCCTAGTTTGGATCCATCGACCCACCACTATTCCTTCATAGTTCAGCCCTAGAAATAGTGCTAGCTGTCAAAATATCAAACAAATCTGGGCTACAACTTCCAATAGTACGTAATCATGGTGAACAATTTCTAAAGTACCCGATTATGGTTGAAGTAGCAGTGTAGCACTTTATCTCATTGAAAATATTACCTGCTAAAGCACATTTATATTCACTTTATAAACTAGTCCATTGCATATGATTAATGGTTTTTCTCCCCCCTCAACATGTAAACTTTTTTAAAAGTGCCAATTCTGAGTCTGAAGCACCAAAATCTCTATTGCAGAACATGTAAACATTGATGCCACCACACTACTAAGAACATATTTTTTTTCCTTAGACTTACTCCTGGCCTTCTAAACCATGGCACCAAAAAGAACCTTAATAACTTCAGCTCGTCACCATAATTCCTTTCCTTGTTTCAGTTGCTCCACCTTAACAAGAATATATCCTCAAACCAATTGGGCTTACCATACATACAGTTTATAAATGAAACCAACAAGTGCAAATCAAGCGTCTGAAACTTACATCGTTGACTCTTGCGGCCTGGACTTCCATGGCCTTGTCAAGAATATCACCCTACAAGCAGCCAATTATGATTTTAAAACAACAATATTTTCCGTACATTTAGACCCAAAAAAGAGTGAGAAAACTCTATACTTACCACAGTCAGCCTATTGATAAGTCCACATTTTATACTCTGGCGCAAACGCTTGCATTCATCCTAACAGATAAGTCCACATTTTATACTTAGTTAAGCATACAGTTTTTGGAAATCAAATATGATCAAATGTATCAATATAAATAATAAAGTCTACAAGTTGGGCACCCTTCTACCCAAAGAGGACAAGTATTATTAGTAAACCATTGCACATTCATACCATTTCCTACCCCAGTTTGAATCTGTATGTATCGATGAACAGTATTTCCACTATGAGATACCATAGCAGGACACACTTTACCAATTCCATGACAAAAGCAAATATAGAAAAACTGTTCAATTGCGGACTTATTTTTAATCATTCGTATTGACCAAGACAACATAGTTTGTATAAAATGCTTTAAGTTCAATCACCTCAGTAAACTCCTGATTTGAAATTGTATCAATTGGTACAACCTCTGTTTTGTTCAGATTTAATATTTCTAGCATGATATCAGTTGACTTTTTCCCTGCTTTATATGGCTCGGCTGCTTTACTGGTACCTGCATACGAAATCATTATAAGAATAGTAACCTTAAAATCTTAGTCCTAGCATTCATAAAATCTTATTACATATTGTTTCTCCAAAATCCACAAATCTGAACTAAAATGGAAGAGGGACTGTAATAAATAGTTACCTACGACTTGGACTAGCCTGTATAAGTCTTGCTTTTGAATGCTACCAGATATCCTTATCCTAACAAAAGTACCAACAACCTTATCCTGGAACTTTTCGATATCTTCAAGCAAATCCTCCACCAACTTCCGTCGCAGGTAAATTAAGTTAATATTGTGCATATCAATGGCTGCAAAGTCATCGAGATTGGAGAGAGGTCCTCCCCTAACACCTTTTTTACGTGCTTTACGTTTCTTATCTTTGCCCCCCTTCACTAGGACATCAGTGTTACCATCAGCCTCCAACTGGTCAAATTCAGAATCAACAACACTTCCTTGAATGTCGTCCGTCTGACACTCCTCTTTTATAAGAAAATGAGATTCAATAAGTTTTAACATTTCAAAATGCCCAACACGGGGTTTTCCAAAGAGATTTGCAAGCCTCGAGTCGCATATAATTTGACTTTTCCGTCGAGGATCGCGAAGTTTATTTATTTTTATATATTCAAGCAAGAGTGCCTGAACATCAAACTGGGATAAAACAGATCTGTCACCATTTTTCATGTTCATAACGAATTCTAGGAGCTCTTTTGATGCCCAGTCAGTGCTGACAGGTGTTGAAATCCCTTCAGCACGAACTTCTATTGCTACACTTGTCGAGGCATCTTCCTTGGTGAGGGACTTCGACCGTTTCTTGGCCCTTTTTCTTTTAGATTTACTTGCTTCTACGTCGTCAGAAGAATTATCTGAACCAGAACCTCCATCATTGTTAGTATCAAAGTGTTGAACAACTGATTGCTCTTTGCTGGCTAATACATCAGAATTAGACCCCTTCCAAGGATTTCTAGCATCGACAAGTTCAACCGAAGATAGAGATAGCTTCGCCTTTAAATCTATCCAGTAGTCTTTGAAGAGATATTCCCAGCTACTCTTGTCATCAAAATCTACTTGGGCCTGCGCCAGTAAACGTACGAGATAAGGAAGGAATTAGAATTCCACTACAGAGATTCGATAACCAACCCAATAAATTTATTATGTCTTTGCAACCACAAACTAAACACCCACTTGCTTTTTATCTACAGAAGAAAAAGATGACGAAGAAAAAAATATAGCACATGCGATCTCAACCCAAGTATATGTACCTGTTAAATATAAGTAATTAAGTTACATCCTTTCCAATAGCTTAAGCTATTGGAGTAGATAGTTGTTTAACATGGTCTCAGAGCACAAGATGTGGTGTTTGAATCTTGCCGCCACCCTAATTATTAAAAAAGATTTCCACGGCCCAAAATCTAGCCTAAACGTGAGAAGGTGTGTTGAAATATAAATACTTAAGTTACACCCTCTAAGTTTTTGGAGTAGATGGTTGTTTAACAATACTCAAACTCAATCCAAAACATGAGAAGCTAGGCACCCCACAATATGCATCAATCAAGATCAAACGAGAAGATACAGAAAGTAAGGTTAAGTCCCATTCTTTCCATGTAAAGGCAAATAAGCCTGCTAATCCTTTAAAGGACCAGAAAATCATTACTTTAAAGTAGATTGCCACAAAATCCTTTGTACATCCCATGAATCCTTCTTGAGATAAGAATTAAATTCAGCATTAAACTTGTTAAGATGAAACTTCTATGGATGGCTAATTTCATGTTGAAATCATGAGCAATTTGACCGGAAGAGGGACAGGACATCTATCGATTTTAACCATGCAATCCAATTTTGTCCAAATAATGCACGACTTTTTGGGGAATTGGCATTGGCACTATTGTGAGGTGGGCCATATTAAGGAAGTCTCTACAACTACTTGATTTTGGGTTTTAAGGCCATAACGTATGTGTGAATAGGATTTTAGGATTTGTAAAAGAGGGAAAAAGGGCAAGGTCTTGAGCTTCTATAAGGAAAGAAGAAGAATAGAAGATGGTTGTTTTAGTTATTATGGGGACTGTGTACAATACCATTAATAAAAAATGCAGGCCTGTGAAGGCTCTAGGTGCTAGCATTGAACAGTTGAAGGAGCTAGATCTTGGGGGTGTTTACAAACAAGTACACAGTGGGTTTGGGCTCTAAATTAGATTTCAAAAAGCTAGATGAAGGGTTTAGTTGCAGACAGCAAACAGAACATACGGTTGTGGAATAAGTGAGAAGAAGAGAAGCACAAAAAATAAAGAAAGATCTGGGTCTTGGCATCACTCCCAAGACGAGATGCATCGCACATCTAATTGACTCAAGATTTCTTCACACCGGAATTAAAATAGGGATAGTAAAAGGGCAGCCGAGTGCACGAGGATCCTGCCACTAGTGGGTCTGGAAAGGGTCAGATGTAAGATGCATTAAGTGAGGCTGTTTCAAAATAGAGGCTCAAAATTGAGGACCAATATCACTGTGGCCAGGAAAACTTAAGGACCAAGACACCAACGTAAACTGCATCCTATCACTTGCTTTCCAACTCCTAGCTAGATTTTGATGGCAACGTAATTTGCTTTCTGTACACCACAAAAAAAGTTTACAGAATTAAAAAAGATAAGAGTAGCTGGATATGAAATTCTTTATTAAAGACAATGCAACTTCTTATATGTTTTTTTGATATAAAAAATTCCATCATTTCAATGCATAAAATAAAAGTATTTATTGGAGCACATTGTCAATATATTTGGGCAATCTTCCGTACCAGAAATTCCGAGACATCATTAGTGATGGAACTTTTGTAGCATCAAAAAATATGAATAAAGAGAACCATGTTGATTAATACTAGAAGTGAGGGATATAAAGAAAATATAAGCCTAGAATTACCAACTGGTGCCAGTTATTGATGACCAGTTTCAATAAAGATTTCCAACCAAGATTTTCAATCGCCAATACCAAATATTTCCTCTTTTGGAACTAAAAAGCGAAAAAACTCAAATCTGGAGCCAAACAACTGTGGGCCCATCCCAAAAGAGTGGAAAGGGGAGGAAGAGCAGATCGACAGAAAACAAGCTCAGCCCAGTCATTCATAATGAACATGAATGTTGAGAGGAGGTCCCCCAGGGGGCAGGGGGATTGGGGGGAGAGAGAGAGAGCACTAAAGACTTTATCAATTGAAGCATTTCAAGAATTCCAGTTGCTTCATAATTGTAAATCGGAGCCCCAATGCAAAAAAGTGGCCCAATGCTGTTTTAAACTAAACCCAATCCACATTTGTTGTCTAAAGTGGCATTCAAATTTTAAAGGCATTCAAAAAAACAGAAATTGACTTAAACAGTCTAATTCCAATTCAGGGGCCAAATTCACTAGACACTCAGGGCCTAAGTAAGGTTGTGTTTGTTAACCCAAATTCAGTACTTAAAATAAATGTATTCAGCACTTATTAATTAAGTCCATTTGATAACCAAAATTTAAACCTTCTTAATATGTTAAGTACTCCTTAAAAATAGGCTATAATATTAAGTAGGAAATCCCTTACTTAATTCTGAAAGCTGAAAACGCTCAACAAAATCATCTTTAATAATATTTACAATATAACAATTATATTCCGAAATATTTTACAATCCTATTAAAACTTTAATTAGTCTTCTCTTTAAATCCCTTAACCTATATATTCTTCTTATCGATCTTTTTTTTTCCTTGTCTTCTGTAACAAAAATATACATATATAATTACAATTACACACACAAACGCACGCACTGCACACACACACAGCGCACACATATTGTTAATGAAATCTAATTTATTATATTTTTTCAATATTACTTGATTATTTATTAGTTATTGTTCTTTTTTTTTATCAGATGTTATTGTTTACTTATTATATTATTCAATTTATTATTGTTCACTTATTATGTTATTCAGATATTATTTATTTATTTATTTATTTTGATCAAATATTTGCTAAATGTAGATTACAATATAATAATAGAGAATATGATTTATGTTATGACATATTTTATAAATATTTTTAAATTAAAGAGTGGAAAGGTAAAACTGAAAATTAATTTATTTTCAAACGTCAGCTCTGTGTAGTTATCAAACTGTTTAGTTCAATTCAATACTTAAATTTCAGTGAAATACCAAACAATCTACAAATTCAGCATTCACCTTTCAGCTTTCAAACTTCAGTTTTATCAAACACCACCTAAGTTTCCATCTAAACAGGATATCCACATTCCAACTTCCGCGCTTTTCATGTTTTCAACTTTCCACACTACGACAAGGCACTGAACCAAGAGGGCAAGAAAGGGAAATTGGGAACAAAAGCCCTGAGCAGTTTAATTCAAGCTCCATCCATCCTATTCCCCACAGATGTATTTGCAAAGTAGCAGTTCTGAAAGTCAATGAACTACATGTGCAGACAGACAAAAGAAAGCGTACAAATTGAAGTAACAAAACAAAAAACGCTGAAGCTGAAGCTGAATAAATGGGCAATAAAGGGGCTAAAGGCCCAGGACCTACTAATCTGTGCCCAAAATCACATCACATGCCAATGAAAAAACTAAAATGAATGTGAACCAGCATAAATGTAATGGCCAATATTTCAGTTAATATGTTGTAGTGCTGATCAAGGCCATGCGAATGGGCAGGTGTAACCATAACGTAACGTGGAAAAAAAGTAAGAATAAATGTCACACAAATCAAGGAAAAAACTATCATTTCTTGCATCCCAACAATGAGAATCAACCATGCCCCCTTGCTTTCCCCAAACAGAAAAGGATAGGATGGTGCACATACCTCCTTGGTTCCCAGCTCCTTGCTCTCAATTAACATGACAGTTTTCATGCAAGTCTCACAAAAGCCTTTGTTTCCTCTAACACACAAGATAACAGCATCCTTAATGCACCCCTTGCACAATGAAAATGTACATGTATAACACATATAGTGGGCATTCTTCTCACAAATGCTACAAAGATGCCAGCCTGAAATACAAGTAATACAGTTAAACCAAAATAATCCAAGACGAATGAAAATAGGAAAAGCTCACACAACCTTATAGTAAAGATAATGACTGCAAAGAAACTAGAATGTTTGTAATGCCACATCAAAGTATTAAGAACCAACTGTATATGACAACAATAATAAGGGGCACTATCAGCAAAATAGATTTAAACTATTTCCTAAACACTCAAAAGTTATTAGATAATAAATGCAGATTTCTGCAGAACTTGTCATTATATGTCAACAATGCAATCCCTTTGGAAGAAGAGAAGCAGTTGTGAGGAGAAGATAAGTTGCAAACAGTTAGAATTTGACCGCAGCCGAACTAATTGTAAGGAGGCCTACAGAATTCCCTTCTCAATTTTCATCAGTATAGCCAAAGGTTTCAGCCACATGGGAGGGAGGGGGACAAATTCATATCCCAAGTTTGTAATATTTTTAAATTTGCAATTTTTGTACCTTCAATGATATGATTAAACATCCAGCATATCTAGAACACTAGTGGTATAGATGTTCATGTGCTTGATTGTTTGTAAATTTGAGGCAAGCGGCTTGGGTGCCCGAAATAACCAGAGAAATTTTTTTATGGTAATCTTTCCTTTGGAATATTTATTTAAATCTCTCCATTGTTCATCTCTTTTCTTTTCATTTCTTTCTTTTTTCCCTTTTTTTTTTTTTTTGCTTATTTACAAGAAGAATATTTCATTAAATGGCAATGCCAACAAATTCTAGTTTTGACACAAATGGAAAGCCCCAATAAAAGAACACAATTGCCTTAACCCCAAAGATTGGCCTCCACATGCTTCCCCCTTGGTGAATTGAGAACAATACGAATACATGAACAAAGTGAGAGTCAATGATAGGTATCCAAAGTGCAATCAGGGAAGGCAGCTTCTCCATTTTGTCTGTGGCAATATGTTTCTCCTGGTATAATTGTCACAGATACAACTGCAATGAGCTTCAAGGGCCCAACAATTTTTTGTTCAAAAAAAATCTCAAACATATGTCTACAAAGTACAAATGAAAATGTAAGTCAGCATACTGCAAACATCTGCATGCCCTCTTCTGATATTTACTCTACTTGGATGGCTGAATTACATACAAAAGCCCTGAAATTTGTTTGGATATTAACAATCAATCATCTTAAGGATGATTTAAGTCCTACTGGAGGGCAAGCATCAACTTAAACAGCTTGTCAATCACAAAACTGCTGGGCATGCAGGTTCTGCACTGGGACTCCCCCGTTTCTCGGCACCAGTCAATGCCTGCAAGTTTAGCTCCTGTACTTCAATCGTTTAATAAAAAGAAAATCAAAGATAAAAAGTTTGGTGAATACAGAAAAAGATCCCACTAAACCACAATGAGTGTCATGTTCTGAAGGTGTTGCATAGTAGTAAATCATCAATCCCTGCTAAAGCTTGATTACTTCGTTGAAAAGATACAAAACAAGATAGGACAAAACATGCAGGAGAAAGAAAGGGACTCACCACAATTCCAACGGCCCTTAGCTTGAAAGAATGCCTCATCACGATTAACACAAAAAGGATGATACGCTTTGGGGCAACCCCTAAAGTCTCAGTAACAAAAATCATTTAGCAATAATCCCAACATTGGCATAAATGCATCTACCAACAAACTCAATTTCAATGATCTAAAAATTCAATTTTACAGTCACCAAACTCACCGGCGGTCACACAGCACAAGGTCACCTCCGTCAAAGCAAATGAAACAAACATCCTCTCCCACCGTCTTCCGCTGTGGAGCTCTAGCTGGAATCTTCGCTGGACCCTTAGAGTGCCTCCCTCTCTTGCGCTTCCCTCCAGCTCCTTTCCATGACTCCGCCGCATCCATTTCCGTCTCCATTGCAGTGTCCGCATCCGGAATCTCCTCCTCTACTTCAGTCTCGGCAGCTGGAATCTCCTCTTCCGCCACCTCGTCTCCCTCATCTTGGTCAACAAGATTTGAATCTTCAAACTCCTGAACAGATTCCCCTCCACTGCCCCTTCCCGCCTCAGCCTCGGTTTCTGTCTCCCTTTCGGAGTCTGCCATCATAGTATCATTATCAACTGCAGCTTCATTCCTCACAATATTGTCTTTGGACGACTCAGAGACCTGTGTGGCCTCCTCCTCTGTCTCTGTTTCTATTTTAGTGTCCAGCATTGGTGTGTCCTCTTTACACAACACCCCGTCATCCCTGTTGTTGTCTTTGACTACAATCGATGGCTCGGTACAAACAAATGACGAATCATGTAACTCTAAAAGATGCTCTTCCCCACCGCCTTTTCCCGCTTCCACGTCCACCTTTGCCTCCATCTCCGTTTTAGTATCTACCTCAGGAACCAATTCATCATTGTCTTCATCATCTTTCACACCAATTGGTGACTTGACACCAACATGTTGAGAAGCATCTAGCTCAGGCATATGCTTCTCTGCACCGTCTGCAGTCTCCTCTATCTTTGTCTCCATTCCAGTGTTCGCCACAGGAGTCTCTTCCGCTACCGTTTCGCTCTCTTTTGCGACAATCAATGACTCAGCGCCAAAGGCTGGCGAACTGCCACCACTGCCTTTCGCCGCTTCCATATTCAGCTCCATTTTTATGTCCACTACTGGAGTCTCCTCCGCCACCACAATCTCCTCACTATTCTCAACAATCGGTGGCTCGGAACCGACGAGTGGTAAATCGTCTCCACCAGCCATCGCCTCCTCTGTCTCCGTCTCAACCAAAATCTCCTCCGCCACCACCGCTTCCTCCTGTTTCGCAAGAATCGGAGACTCCGCACTAACGATTTGCGAATCGTCTCGACCACCTATCACCTCCTCTGTCTGCGTCTCAATTTCAGTGTTTACAACCGAAGCCTCCTCCACCACCACCGCTTCCTCGTGTTTCGCAACCATCGGAGACTCGGCACTAACGACCAGCGAACCGTCTCGACCGCCAATCGCTCCCTCTATCTTCATCTCCATTCCAGTATTTATCACCGGAGCCTCCTCCGCCACAGCCGCTTCCTCAACAATGGGCGATTTATTGCTAACAAGTTGCGAATTGAAAACTGAAACAGAATCAGAGGCAGAGTCGCATTGTTCGGTGTTCATAAGCTCTTTGGTCCCTAAAGATTCGTTTCCCAAAATTGATTCCTCCACTTCTTCAAGTGAGGGTGGTTTGTTAACAATATGTGAATTCTCTTCGTCGTCTTTCATGGAAACCGATTCAAAACCCAAACCCTAGGTCATGCGTATGTATAGATAGATATAGATACATACAAATTCGAATGTACAAGTAAGAGTTGCGAAACCTAGTGAGTGAAAGATTGTCTTTATCGTTTGATATGAATTGGTTGTGTAAACAAACCCTCTGTGGAGCCAAAAGCGAGAATTACATAAAAAAAATTAAATAAATAGAGTTCTTTCTCTGCTCGGATGAGTCGAAAACAAAAGGGGCTTAGGTTTTCAGTTTGCTGAATTGTGGAGGGGTTGAAACTTGCAAGTGTCCAGTTATTTACCTGCAATATCCGATATGCCCCTGGGCTAGTGGGCTTGTTGGCTGTCTGGTGGGTTTGGATGGTTGTTGAGCAGTTCCAAATGATGTGAAAATTGAAGCCTCCCACCCTTAAATCTTTTTTTTTTTACCCCGTTTTATCTTGGATTATTTGAAAATCGGTACACCTAATTAGACTTATTTGACAAAAATCATATAGAACAAAATATTTTGAAAAAAAAATACACAGCTGAGTTACAAAGACATAAATGCCCATTTTAGGGTCATTTAATTTAAAATCTCTTATATTTAATACATCTTGATTCATGTTTGTTTATTAATACATATAACTACGTATTTAATACACATTGATTCATGTGTATTTGTTAATACATGTAAATACGTATTTAATACACTTGGTGTTAGATCTCTTATCTAAATTTTGAATTATCTTTAATACAATTTTATTCATGGGTATTTTTTTTTAAATGATTTTATTTTCAAATTATATTTAATGCACATAGATTCAAACATTTTTTTTTTTAGAAAATAATTTTTTTTTTAAATTAATTTAATATCCGAATAATGTAATAGTGTAACAAGTACACTGTAACAAAGACAGTGTAACAAATATACTTTAACAAAAACAATATTCAGTAGTTTTGTGTATGTGATAATAAATTTAAAACGAAGATGGACTATTTTGAATAAAATTATATGAAACTATATGTTTGACAAAATGTAATAATACAATATTTTGTATAAATAGTTTGTTACATTGTTACACTGTTACACTATTCGGATATTAAATTAATTTAAAAATAAAACCACTTTCAAAAAAAAAAATCATGAATCAAGGTACATCAAAAGATAATTTAAAATTTAGATAAGAGATTTAACAACAAGTATATACATACATACATAAGTGTGTATATATATATATATATATATATATATTTGTTTGAATTTCAAAATTTGTATTTATGTATATATAAAACGTATATGTAATTATATTTTAATGCACATTGATTCATGTATATATATATGTATTAAATTTTGAAATTCAAACAAGTATATATATATGTATTAAAGTTCTCCCATAAAACTAGGAGATGTTTAATACACCACTTTCCAAAAAAAAATGGTGCATTAAATACACATGAATTAATAAAGGGAAAAAATGTCACAAAAAATCAATAAAATTCAAATAATGTGCTTAGATACAAATAAGTATCAAAATTAAGAACTTAATTAACCAACATTTTTTTCTATATATTTTTTTACAATTAAGTCTAATTTGATGTACCTACTTCCAATTTTCCCTTTTATCTTTTTACTTCAAACCACTGAATTAACCACATTTATACTCACTAAATCAATGACTAAATTCACCCTATTTGTATACATTAAATTAAACTATTACATATATATATTTAAAAAAATGAAATAAAAAAAATAATTAAAGAGAAATTTCAATATTCCAAGGTGATCAATGATATTTTGAGATGTTTTGAGATATTTTAACATATTTTTACCAATATCTTCATAATATTTTTAGGTGTTTTAAGATATTTTAACTAATATTTTAAAAATAATTTATTTTTATTATGTTTTTGTAATATTTTCATACCAAAATAATATGCTAAAATAAAATTTTAATCATTGTCTATATAGTAGGTTGAAATAAAATTAAATAAATTAGTTTTTAATTAGTGAATATAAACGAGGTGAGTTTAACAATTGATGTGTGAGTATAGATGTAATAAACTTAATAGTTTAAAGTAAAATGATTAAATATGGTGTGCAAAGAGATTTAAGGAGTATGAAGAACCCTGTCAAAAATTAAACGCTGGTATACTTTCTCAATTTGATTTAGCGATAAGGATAAACACAAATATTTTAAGTCATTAAAGACATAATTGTAACTAGTTGTTGCACACGTGAATAATTTTTAGTTACATAAGAGTTCTAATTCATACATCTAATTAAAATAAATTTATATATAAATCTATCTTTCAAGAGTAGGTCAAATCAAATTAACAGAAAGTATAGGCACATAATTATATTATAAAAATTAAGAACAAATATTATTACTATCATTCCATGTATTAAAATTTTTACTTATTTGGGTTTGAATCAATTCATTCGGCCATATATGCAACTGGTACAAAATATCTTCTTGTATTTTACGGGAAAAAGGGCCATAATTACTAAAAATGAAGAAATTGGTGCCAAATTGTGAAATACAACTACTAACCCAAATTTCTCTAAGACTACCAACCATTGTTCATCTAGCATACCAAAAAATCACAGCTCATCAATTATTATCTTTATTGCAATTGGCAGTGACACTTTGTGTGCTTTGTCTTTTTTTTTTTATTAGCAGTGGTAGGAAATATGCAGTTCATTCTTTATAACTCGACAGTATCCTTTCTATTGCTTGAACTTGGTATAATATATGAAACCAGTATCAAGTGTCAGACCATCTCTAACGATATATTCGTATAAAAATTGATTAGGTCAAGTTACCAATTATTAAAACTGTGTCACTTCCAAAAACATATATCTTCAACAAGGGGAATAGTTTTTTACACACTCAATTTGATTGGAGCATTGCATTTACTTATGAGTAATTCAAATACAACTTTTAATGTTTAATTGAAATGAATTCACTTACCAAAGTTAGAGTTGTAACGTTCATTTGTGTTTGAAGTTTCTATGTGGAGTTTCAAAAGAAAGTGACAAATCAAGACTTCAAGAAGAAGAATATTCAAAGTAGACATAATTGGAAAAAAGAAAAAGAAAAATGCAATTAACCAACCAAAAGTGGAGGTATTTGTAATCCCCCAAAACACACCCTGGATAACATTACATTCTAAAATCATTCATATCATGAGAGCACTAATATAATCCCTTAAGAAACAAGACTTCATTTGTCATTCACGAATATTTATAACATTATCCAAAATAATAAGTCCAAGTCATGACTATTACATCTCAAAAATTAATTAAAAAAGCGCAGCGGAATAAACAAAAGAAGCTAGACTACACAATGTTCCAAAAGAATGTCCTAGTCTAGTACAAAGGAAAGGAGGTCGCTCTATGCGTCCACCTCGGGATCCACACTCCCGTCCCGTGGAGTCTCCCAAGTAGCGGGCTCCTCGACCCTTACGTCCTCCTCCTAAAACGGGTAATTTGAAAAATGTTAGCGATAGGGGGTGAGCACGAAACTCTGTAGAAAAATTCTCCCAAACCCATACAAGGTTTAGAAAAGCATTTAAAACGGTCGGTCTCAATTTTAACATAATATAGATACATAATTTGAAATAAAGCAGTGACATTTAAAAATGATCTCAAGTTTATTTAAAAACATTACTTAAATGAATAAATGAGCACCACATACAAATAATAACCATTAATTGCCATAACCAATTTTCAACAATTCTTTCGGTAGGTGGCATACTTTGTGGTAACCTCCACCTCCCTTTTAGGTCACCTTTGATTCTCAAGCATCCTTACCGAAAACCTCTTGAAAATGGATGAGCATCCTTGCATGGAACTTCTCACCAATCACTACATTATTTTCCAAGCATCCTTACCGAGAACCTCTTGGGAAGGGGTGAGCATGCTTACAAGGAACTTCTCACTCATATGCATCATAAACAACTCAACCAAGCATACAATTCTAACATTTATTTTAATTTACAAGCATCTATCCAAAATTCTCAAAATATATCATATAATAATTTCACAACTAACTAAGAAAATACATGAGATCATAATAACATCATTTTTCTACCCAACACAAAGCACTAAGATTTCGAAATTCATAATAAATAAAACATTTAGGAAGGAAATACATCACTTTCCAAAAATTAGGGTTTTAAAACTAGAAAGGAGATTTTATGGGTATTAAACCCTACTTTGTTCAAAACATGTACAAAAAGCCTAAGAGATGATGATTCCATAGCATATATATATCATTGATAGCCAAAACATACATATATAAATACTCTAGTCTCAATGTAAGTGAATGAGAGAAAACTCCTACCTTTAATCCTTAGCTTTGGAGTGAAGAACAAGAATATTTGATCTTGAATCACCCTTGAATCTCTTGTTTTTTCCTTCCTTTCTTCTTCTCTAATGCCCTCTAGGGTTTCAAGAGGTGTGAGGGTGTCAGGAGAGTGAAGGAAATGAGAG